CCCCAAAACCCCAAAACCCCAAAACCCCAAAACCCCAGTTTAATAAGGAAATATAGAATAAAGCATAAATGAAGAAAACTAAGGTGAGCGCAGATTTTAAGGGGTTTAAAGAGGTCTTGGAGTTGTAGAGTGATGAGGGTAGGGAATAAGACTGGCCTAAGCTGATTTAGAAGAAATGACGCATCAAGTTTTGGAAAAATAGAGATATCGGCAGAAGGACTGGAAGTGTCTGAAATTTTAAATTTCCAATTACTAAAACTTATCAGGCCAACACAATGCATCGTAGGGTTTTCAGTCCTGCAGGTATCAGCAATTATAACATCAGTAAGATATTTTAAGTAGATTTATATCCTATTTTCTGTGGGTAATTCTCAAGCCAATAGAAGCCAAACTTAGATCAAATAATAATGCATTTAACACTTTCTGAACTGTCAATGATAATCTTTTACCTCAATACCATCTACCACATTTTTCCACTACCAGCAATGTAAGCTTACTCAAATACCCAAAATCTTTCTTCAGCCTCTGTGCCTAACCCCAAAAATCCCAGATTTCCTTTGAACAACACTAGAGTTTTCTACACAAAATATAGAATAAGCAGCGTGAGACCCCAAAGCATTATTCAAGTTACTCGAAGAACCATGGTAACGCACTTGCTAGATTATAGACCTCCTGTTTGACCTAGGCGAACATAGAGGGATATATGTAGGCTCCAAGTCTATCAAGGCCAATAAAGCAAGGTAGGATGAGGAATTGGGAAAGATATAGGGACATTGAGACAGCTCAAGGCCAGAAAATATGGGAAAATAGCAATAAGATACCTCATAATTGTATGCTGAGAAAAAGTTCTATGTGTAAAACATCCAAAATGACTAGAAAAGTCTGAAATTCTCCGTTGTAATATTTCTTAATTAACCCTAGATTGCCTGGAACTGAGTCTATTAGTCCTAAGAAGGATGAAACTCCAGCTAAATTATTTGTGAAAACTCACAGTTCGTCAGCAATGGTCAAATCTCCACTAAAAGGTAGGGAGATCAGTAATATTTAGCTTGTAATAGTATTCAAAAGATGCTTGACTACTTCAGTAAGTTTGCATACTTTGGGAGTTTAAGTATAAGACCACTATTAACTTGACATACAGATTCACAAGGCATTAGCCATGGAATTAGATCCTCCGAAATCAGAACTAGGGATATTTAACGTAGCTGATTTTATCAGCTATCTGGCTGAAAAGAGTAACCATAAGCCCAACTCTGTTGAAAGGAAAATGAATAAGTAAGCCATGTTATTTAGAATAATAGTGAGCTCGAAGATATGGGCCTCAAAATTAAGAAAATAAATCTAGAAAATCCTTGACAACTAGAACAGTTTGAGAATGTAGCTAAAGTTAAATAAAAATAATAACCATACGTTTCTGAATAAGACAGACTATAATAAAAGTAATCCAATGGCTAAGACATAGTTTTCCCTTGAAATAAGACAAATTTTTGGAAAAAGAGACATAGAAACCCTAGCGTTCAGGTATACTACCTCTAACCCTACTCTAGGAGTTATTAAAGAGGCAAAGGAGTAACTCAAAATCACCTGTGAAGCCCAAAGTAGTGGCATATCCCTTCGCCCATATCAAAAAGAAGGGATTTACGAAATAAGAATTGACATATTTTCAATAAGGCAATTCATTCATGGGGTTTTGGGGTTTTGGGGTTTTGGGGTTTTGGGG